AGAAATAGGGGGCTGGAGAGATGGCTCAGAGGTTAAGAGCACTGACTGCTCTTCCAGAGGTACTGAGTTCAATTCCCAGCAACCACATGGTGGCTCACAACCATCTGTAATGAGATTTGGTGCCCTCTTCTGGCCTGCAGGCATACATGGAGGCTGAACACTGTGTACATAATAAGTAAATAAATCTTAAAAATAAATATAAAGGAAAATAAAATCACTTGTTGTCCTATGGCCCAGTATTTATTTTCTGGTCCTTTTTATGTTGTTATATATGACACTTGATGTTTCTTTTCTCATTGCAGAAGTGGAATTTGCCTGTTACATAGCGATCTGAAGTGTATAGACTGCCTTAAGTTGTAATTACTATTTTTTAAAGAAATGGTCCTCATGGGGAGAAACCTGCTGTTGTAGGCTCAGAAAGGAGATGGCCAGGTGGATAATGTGGACAGAGTTAGGTACTGCTCTGTTGGAAGGCAGCAGAGAGTAGTGTTTAGTGTCACAGAGACTTTCCAGGGCATTGTGAGTTTGGAGTGAGGAAGCGGGATTCGTCTATGAGAAGAAAGTTCACTTTATTTCTGTGGTAAGGTGTATTCCCTGCGGAGTATGTTGATACATGCCTGTAAGCCCAACATTTGAGAGGCTGAGGCTGGAGGATTGCCAAAAGTTCCAAACTAGCTTTGTTAACTAGTGAACAAGATCCTGTCTGAAAAACTAACATAAACAAGCAAACAAAATCCCACTTTGTAAGAACAGCCCATTTCCAGGGCTGGAGAGCTGTTTGTAAGGTGGCTGCGGGGTGGCAGAGATGGATAATACAGGAATGGCTGGCTGCGGCTACCGTGTTTGTCAGGACAGATGGTAATCTGCTTCCGGTCTGCACGACTTGTTCTGACCCTTTTGCCCTGCTCATTCAGGCACTTGACACTGTCTACCCTTGGGTGCGGGGGGTATAGGATCTGTGCTTGTGCAAGGTCTGCGAGCTGAATGCACTCTAGTTAAACTCATTATCATCTATTGCACCAGACGAAATGAAGCTCAGCTGTTTTCTTTGGACAAGAAAAGACAGGAGGAGAATGGCACTTTGTGGAATCTACAGTTACATTGCGTCCATTCATGGAGGCACCTGACTGGCTCTATTCAGAAAAGAGACATCTTAAGGCTGTCAGTTCTTTGTGTACGTGTGTGTGCACGCACGTGTGAGTGTGCACTTGAGGCCAGCATTCAACTTCGGATGTCTTCCTTGATTGCTCTCAGCTTTATTTCCTTTGTGACGGGATCTCTTACTGAGCCTGGCGCTCTCGAGTCTGTTAGACTGTGCACCTGTCTGCGCCTTCCCGGCACTGGGATCACAGGCCTGCGCCTCTGTGTCAGCTCTTACCGGGCGATGGGGATCTGAACTCATGTCCTTGTGCTTGTGTGGCCAATAAAGTCATCTCCCCAGCCCCAAGGCAGACAGTTCTTATGTCTGAGACACATATTTGGGATTACATGAGGGCATTTAAAACTTGATTCCTCTGCGCACTTCATGGGGCTGGTGAGATGGTAAGGACACTTGCCGTCAAGCGTTGTGACCCAAGTTCAGTCCCTGGAAAGCATATGGTACAAGGAGAGAACCAACTCCCCCAGGCTGCAGCCCAGAGTAATGGCATCATAGGGGGTATCAGGTCACTGTTGTTTTGTGAGGCTTCCCTCACCACCGTTTTTCCATGTGGGTCCAAAGAGGAGAAGCAGTCTAGGAAGGAAGGTGCTAGAGTTCTCTGACCTGCCCCCAGCCTCCTTCGCAATGGGCGAGGCATGCATGAGCTGCTCAGTGTCGGATCACTGAAGTACAAAGCCCTAATGTCAAGGAGACCTAATGTTAGGGTTGCAGCCAACTTGTCTTCATAGTGTTGTGCAGTCCAGGAGAACTCAAATGTTTGCTTGAATTGTCACAATGTATGAGTGTATTTCAATTTCATAAAAGCGCCTAACTCATGTTAGGTGCCGAATACTAACTTTGGAAATTACCGTCAGTTGCCTCCTCTGTGACTTTAAATATAGCAATGGCTGTCATCAAGCAGAACAAGCAGGTTCTCATGTCACTTTTGTCCTGCTTAGGTGTCCTCTCCCCATGTATGTGCGTGTGCAGGGGCGTTCGAGGGGTGGGAGAGGTTTCGGGTTGGGGTGTGTGTGTGCATGCATAGACATACATGTACATGTGTATGGAAGAGGGAAGTCACCTTTTGAGACAAGATCTCTCTTCGAACCCGGAGCTCCCCTTGCTCAGCCCACACTACCCAGAAGTTGGCTGACTCTGCTGGCCAGCAAGCCCCAGTTCTCCTTTCACTGTCTGCCCGGTGCTGGGATTACAGATGAGGGTTTACTGTGCTTAGCCAGTGGGTCCTGGGGCTCAATTGTGCTCCTTATTCTTGTGTGGCAAGCATATTAACCAACTAAGCTCTCTCCTCAACCCTTCCCTGCCCTTTGTAAAACAACAACAACAAATTTTATTATTTTCTTTTTAAAATATTTTCTGCTTGCAAGGAAATCTTTTATTTATTTATTATATATACAGTGTTCTGTCTGCCTGAATGTCTGCAGGTCAGAAGAGGGTGTCAGATCTCATTATATAGATGGCTGTGAGCCACCATGTGGTTGCTCGGAATTGAACTCAGGACCTCTGGAAGAACAGCCAGTGCTTCAACCACTGAGCCACCTCTCCAGCCCCCAAAAGCTAATTATCTTCTTGTTATTGTTAGCATAGCTGGCCTTTGGGAGTCTGTTGTCCTGCAGATTAGGCTAGCTTGCTTTGAGGTCCAAAGACCCTGTGGGCTAGACTGAGCTGGGCCCACTAGCATTGCTGTTGTCCCACCTCTGTAGCAGCTGAGTCTGCTTAGGCTGAGTTTCTACTGGGTAAAAGGAAAGGTTTCGTGGGAGTGGACTGCAGTGTTGAGTAGGTGTGAGCAGCCAGGATGTGGTCATTCACAGGAGGCTACAGAAATGTCCCTGAGCAGTTATTGACCAAGGTCATTCTCCAGATCCAGGTCCATGCTAGTTTGAGACTTAGCATCTTTTTACTGAGTGCTTTGTAGACATCCAATCTTTTTCATCTTGTGCATGAGGAAACTGAGGCTTGTAGGCCTTAAGTGCCTTACCCAAGGTCCCAGCAGCTGATAAGTGACAGAGCCAGCATCGCAACATTGTCCTCTCTGAAGTCTTTTTGTAAGATGAGACCAGAGTCTGGAGATGAAAATGGGTACCAAGGTGACTCGGCTGTATCTGGGCTGAGCTGTGCTGACTTCTAAGGTGGCTCTCCTTGTTCTAGTGGAATGGGTAGATACAGCAATCCATTTCTTCCTCCTCCTCTCCCGCCTCCTCTTCCTCCTTCTTGTTCTCCTTCCTCCTCTTCTTTTTTAATTTTTCAAGACAGGGTTTCTCTATGTGTGGCCCTAGCTATCCTAGAACTTGCTCTGTCTCTGGTTTCAGGCTGGTCTCTTAACTCACAGAGATCAACTTCTGCCTCCCAAGTCCTGGGATTAATGGCATGCGCCACCACCACCCAGTTAGCAATCCATTTTCTATTGCTGTACCAAAATCCTAAGGCAGAGTATTCTGGTTTATTTAATTATTTATTTTCATTAGATTTTTTTGAAACAGGGTTTCTCTGTAGCTTTGGAGCCTGTCCTGAAACTAGCTCTTGTAGACCAGGCTGGCCTTAAACTCACAGAGATCCACCTGCCTCTGCCTCCCAAGTGTTGGGATTAAAGGTGTGCGCCACCACCATCCAGCTGGAGTGTTTTGTGTTAAAAAATGGTTTCTTTAGCCCATGGTTGGTTGTCCCTGTGTGTTCTGTTTCTGGTGAAGGCCCTCTTGAGTGTGTCACATCATGGTGGATGGTGTCCTGGCTGGAAAGTGTAATATGCAAGAGTGAGGAACCATCATATCGTGGGGCAGGAGGTCAGACTTGGAGGATTTTAAACACAGACACACACACACACACACACACACACACACACACACACCACCCTTGTGGAAGTTAATTCATCCCAGCTGTTGACATTGATCCCTTCCAGTGTTCCCATGTCCTCTTGACCTTGTCCTAGGCCCCTGTCTCTTACAGGTTCCACCCCTTGCTTCTCCTCACCAGCATATGAACCTTTATGGAACACACTCAGACCCTGTTGAAAGCAGAGCAGATACCATGGGATGAGAACCTTGAGTCTCCAGATTTAACTTTTGCCCCTCCCTGCCAGAGGATGCAATGTGAAGGACATAGGGTAGGCAGAGGCAGAAGTGACCCTGGAGAGCTGTGCCTGAACCAAGAGGCAGGGACTTGATGGGCCAGTCAGAACCAAGAGCCCAAGAGCAGCTAACCCTGGTTCAGTACTGCTATGCGCCGCCCCTCTGTGCCAGCTGGTGGGAATCTGCCCTGCTTCACACCCCCGCTCACTCCCATTGCCAGATCTGCTGGCCTCTGTTTGTGCAGGGAAAAGGAGCTGCTCCTTGGGATGAGATGGAAGAAAGAATGAAGCACTGCCCCACCCCTCCCCCAAATAAAAAAGACTCAGTGGCTTTCTTGGGCCAGCCCCGCTAATCATGGGAGAAACATTTAATTTCAACCAGATTACAAGGCGGTTGCTTTTATTTGTTTTTGGCTGGATTTGTGCCAAGGATTCAACTTTTCCTGTTCATTTTATTAAAAACTTTATAAACAGTATTAATAAATAGATATAAAACTGCCGTATAAATGACAGAGAGACCAAATGAAATTCACAAGGGTCAGCGTTGAATAAGTAACAGAGCCACGTCCTGTGCGATCAAATGCTCATATATGCAGATGAGATCCAGAGCTTTACTACAGTGTTTTAATTAATATTTATAAATCACAGAGTGCCGTGGAAAGGGCCAGTAACCTATTTATATTGCCATCATGTCACACAATAACAGATCCTCTGGGGAGTGCTGTCTGTTTTGCATTTAGTCAGAAAAGTAAGCACGTTGTTGTGTCTGTCTCCCCTTAGGTGTGGTGTCTGCACAGCGACAGGTCACCGTCCAGGAAGGACCCTTGTACCGCACAGAGGGCTCCCACATCACCATTTGGTGCAATGTGAGTGGCTACCAAGGTCCCTCTGAGCAGAACTTCCAGTGGTCCATTTACCTACCCTCCGCTCCGGAACGTGAAGTCCAGATCGTTAGCACAGTGGACTCGTCCTTCCCTTACGCCATCTACACCCAGCGAGTCCGAGGCGGGAAGATCTACGTGGAAAGAATCCAGGGGAACTCGGCCTTGCTGCACATCACAGAGCTGCAAGCCCGGGATGCTGGGGAGTATGAATGTCACACCCCCAACACGGATGAGCGCTACTTTGGGAGCTACAGCGCCAAGATGAACCTAGTGGGTAAGGAGACATTGCTTTCGTGTGGCCAGTGTCAGCCTGAGCCCCTTCTGTTGCCATACAGCTTTGCTGAAAGACAGATTCCCCAAATATCTTAGGATACATAGGGGAGCATAAGTGAACACAATTTCCATGTACACTTGTGAACACTATTTGAGGCTGACACTTGGGAGTCTTGTGCAGACATTAAGAACTTCAGTGATTAACCAGGCCTTTCTTGGTCAAGGGCAGTATGAGTATGTAAAGGCAAAATCCGGGAGTGGTGCCTCATGTCTATCATCCCAGCATCCATGAGGCCGAGGCAAGGCAACAACATTTGTGGGTGACAGTTTGGAGGGATGGCTCAGAAGATAAAGGGGTAAGGTCAGCGGGAAGAGAGCAAAGCCCCTAAAAGAGCAAGAGCAAAAGTCCCACCCTCCAGAGGCGGGGACAGTGGCAGTAGATAGACACCAACAGGAGGATCGCTGCAGGAGGGCGGTAATGTGTGTGAGGGCAATCTCAGGAGAGTCCCTGCTCAGATAACCCAGTGAATTCCAGATGCTCAGAGGGGACAGAGAGCGAGAAGGGAATGAGACCATTTGAGATATAGTAAGTGATTTTAGTGATTCTCAGACAGTAATGGTTCTTCTGGGAACTGAGTGGATCTCAGAGACAGACGGGAGCTTGTGACTGAAGCTGCCCATGAACAGTTGTGTTTTTTAGTCTCCTTCCCTGTTGATCTGAGTTCAATTCATAGAAAATCCAGCGAAGAAGCAGAAGGTGAGAGCTTCTTCAGCAGGCCTGCTCTTTGGGCAGACACGCACTGGAGTAGCGCTGCTTGAAGCATCCACTACTGTCCAAAGGGTCTGTCTTCAGTGTGAAGTAATCGACAGGAAGTGTCCCCATTTTGGGGTGCAATTCCCTGGACTCCATCTCTCAGACATGATGAGGAAAAAGGACAGGTTTTGAGGTCCTGGGAGAGAGTAGGGCTCCGGGTACCGAGACCTCCCTGTGTGCGTGTTAAGAAGCTACAGACGGCCTTTTTCTCTCGTTGCTCTCTGTGCCGGAGAGGATGTAAGCTGGAAGCGTCGGGAGCATTTCGCGTGGGCCCCTCCGGTTACCACTGCCAGTGAGAAAGGCAGATAGCAGCAAAGCTGTTGTGATTTGTACCCAAGTCCTGAGCTCAGCAGGGCCTGTTGGTGACACTGCCTTTGCTTCGTCTTCATTTCTGTAATGAGCCTCTAAAGTAAGAGGACTTTAACCATCAACCTTGGCACAGGAACAGGGAGGAAAACATGCCCCTGGCCTTTATGAGGCAGCAGAGGCGGCGGAGTAGGGTGACGTATAGTCTTCAGGAAGATAAAGGTCAGAAAAAACCCAGTCACTGGACACAGCAGTGCCTGCATTTGCCTGAGTCCTCTGTGTACAGCTGTAGTCACTTTGATGAATCCTGTGAAGGCACAGGGGTGCAGCCAGGCTTAGTGGTACCCATTTGTAATCCAGCCACTTGGAAGGCTGAGGCTGGGAGATCACAAGTTCAAGGTTACCTTGGACAACATTGTGAGACTTGGTCTCCAAATTAAAGAGATAGACTGTGGGGGTTGGAGCCCAGTGGTAGAGTACTTGCCTATTCAAGTCCTAGGCTCTTTCCCCAGGACAAGGGGAAAATAGGGAATGATGATGGTTTTCTCTAGTCCCACTCCCCAGTCCCACATCTCAGGACAGTGCACGGATGAGGTGAACTGGGAGATGGGATGGAGAGGAGGGTCCAGAAGGGAAGAGGGAAAGGGCTGTTTAGGAATGGAAAGCCAGAAGGTCCAGGAGCCATTCCCAGTCAGAAGTGAGGTGAAGGTATCTCAAAGCAATACCAAAACCAACATCAAATCTTATTAGACCTCAGCGATTATTCTTACACAGTTTTCTCAGGGAATTTTTTTGTTGTATACATTTTTAAAATAAAGTCCATCTTTGCTCTGAGTGTTATTAAAATACCAAGCAGGTGTCCGTGCCAAAAATATTATCTTGGCTACCATAAAAGAAAAGTGTATTTAGGTTTATATGCCTTTCGGGGTTGTCTGTGGCCTCGAATCGATTGTTAGGGCTGCTTTTGTTGAGGCAGTAATAGTGGTTTCTGTGTAGAGTAGGGCCCTCGCCTCTCAGAAAGTGAGTCTCAGATTCTGTAACCTTGTAACCTTCCTCTGTTGGAACTTTCTGTTACAGTGATCCCAGATTCCCTGCAGACCACAGCTGTCCCCCAGACTCTGCACAAAGTGGAACAGGACCCACTGGAGCTCAGTTGTGAAGTGTCCACTGAGAGTGACCAGCACAGCCACCTCTCAGTATCCTGGCTTCGGCGGAAGGGTGGTGAGAAGCCAGTGGAGGTCATTTCCCTGAGCCGAGACTTCATCCTGCACTCCAGCAGTGAATACGCCCAGCGGCAGAGCCTGGGGGAGGTGCGGCTGGACAAGCTGGGGAGAACCACCTTCCGCCTCACCATCTTCCACCTGCAGCCCTCCGACCAGGGCGAGTTCTACTGCGAGGCTGCCGAGTGGATCCAAGATCCAGATGGCTCTTGGTACGCCATGACTAGGAAGCGCTCCGAGGGTGCTGTGGTCAACGTCCAGCCCACTGGTCAGTCTCTCTCAGCTTCTTGTCCTTTACCTGGTGGGGAGTCAGACACTAGGAGGGTGTGGGGACACCTTGTTTGGTGACCATGACAACACAGTAGGGTTTTGGGTGAGGTTAGAGATGGTTGTGACGTCGGCTGGAGAAAACGGGCACACAGACCCAACTTGCAGTGCGTCACAGACAGCTGCCTGTACGGCCCCTGCTCTTCATCGTGTTTTCTTTACTATATGCTATCATCCTTTATTTTGAATAAGAAATTTGTTTTTTTTAAAAATGAGAGAGTTTGCAGAAAAGTGTGGCTGGAGAGAAGGCTGGAGCGTGGCCAAGAGCGTGTATTGCCCTTGCAGGGGACCCAGGTTCAATTCTTAGCTCCTACTACACAGTGGCTCACAACTCTTCAACTTCAGTCCCAGGGGATCCTTTACCCTCTTTTGATCTCCAAGCACACATATGATGTGCACATATACATGCAGGCACATAATAAAATGAGTAAATCTTTTTTTAAAAAAATTTAAAATGAGAGATACCATAGAAAATCTTTGTGTCTTATGACTCTGGGTTCGATTGCAGAGGACATTTGAGATGATAAGCCTTTTGTTGGATGTGTGAACCATCAAGCAAAGCAGATGTTAGCATACCATTATTTTTATATTAATATTCCTGCCAATTTTTTTTACAACTTCTAAAATGCTTTAACACATGTTGTTATGTCTGTGGAGCAAGGTAGGATGGCTTCCTCACTTTGCGGTTGAGCGTAGCGAATACAGTGCTCTGTGGTGTGGTCCCAGCAGTAGCCAGATGTGTGCTATGAGGCCCGTGTAGAGTGTTAGCTCCTGCTGTGGACGCTTTGTCAAGGGAAGGCCTGGCAGGGTCCCTGAGGGGGAAGAATGGTGTGCTTCAGGCTGAGGTAGTGGTCGCGGCCTAGCAAATTGCAGTCCTTAAGGCTGAGGTAGTGATGGTGGCCTGGCAAGCCGCAGCTCTCCACAGCTTCTCTTGATATTTCTGGAGACTCCGGGTTCTCCTCTAGGTTCTTGCACCTGCAGAGCTCCATTGAGAGCTGATGCTGTTGTGGCCGGTGTTGGCTGAGCTGGGGCGGGTTCTTATGTGGGCCTGGCTTTGGTTGGAGGATGGTTGTCACTGGAGGGCCTTGTCTCCTCTCCCTGCTGAGGGCTGTTGGTCCTGCTGATGAAAGGATGTTTCTGTGTAACAGGTGGCAGTGTTCTTGTCAGCACTGTCTCTTGTCCTCCTTGCAAAGGTGCTGGGACATTTGAGAGCAATGCTTCCGAGTCGCCTGATACTGAACTTTCTGACTCATCCCGGAAGTCCCTCCTCAGAGACTCCTGGGCCAGGGCTGGGGAAGCTGTGTCTCTGATGGACTCCCCAGGTCCTTCTTCACTGGTCTGCATTCTGTCTATCGCAGCACCAGGGGGAGCAGACTAGGAGGTTCTCTGAACACCCAGCGGGCGTGAAAACAAATGGAGGTGGGGTTCTTGGTGAGAGGGGCACGCTCGATCCACACTTAGGACCAGGGCTCTTAGTGCCTTCTGAATCTTCTAATATTAAGTTTACCCAAGAGGCTTTAGTTCCTGTTTATCATTTGCCTTCCTGCTTGATCTTAAGATCAGTGTCAAAAAAGTCTGGGCCTAATTTCGAGTCTTAATGCTTTTAAATTAGGTTGCATCAGCTAATCTTCTTTATTTTAATCTTACCAATTTAGAATTAGGACATTTTGAACTTGCCCTGCAAATGTATCCAGACTAAGCCAGCAAAGGAAAATTTTAATGGAAAAAATAAACGTTGATATCTTCACGGTGTGTACATATTCAGGCTCAGAAGTTGCAACTCCACCTTCCGGCCTTTTTCTTCATGTTTATTTTAATAGACATTAGTCTTTCCAGCACTGAAGGTGTGATGCGAGGCCCCAGGGCTGCCAAGATGAGTGACGTTTCCCTGTGCAGTGATGCAGGGTCATGGGGATGTGCAGAGCCCTGCTGGGAGGTCTGTTCACCTGTTGGTGGCAGTCTCTGTAACTTAGTCGAGGGGTCCATTGTAAGCGGACTCTCAGAGACACTCATAGCATGACACACCCATCGTGTCGTTGGACATGGACATCTAAAGACTTAACACAAGTGAGGAGGACTTGTGAGAGCCCTTAGGGCAAGAATAGGACCAAGTTCAAGAGACCCATGGCAGTACCGAGTGGTCCGAGAACAAGCCCTGTTGTGAAAGGAGCAGAATGGTCAGGCGAGGCAGGGAGAGGCAGAAGGGATGCTGTCCTGGAACCAAGGGAGGAGAGCAGCCCCAGAGGCTAGAGCTTGCTCAGGAGGATGAGGGTCGGGTCAGCCATTGGTGTTGCTCACTAGGTCAGTGGACAAGGGATCAGGAAGCCAGATGTCAGCGGGCTAGGAAAAGGGGATATAGCTTATGTCAAATTCCATAGTTGATTGATTGGGTATAAGCAAGAGCAGATTGCTCTGAAGAAAGGGGGGTTTGCATCTCCAGGAAATGTGAAGGCTCCATGGAACTTGAGGCATCCTCATGGGATAAGCAGCATCCGGGGCTGCCAAAAGAGGAAAGCCCTGGCGGTAGCCCACTTAGCCTAGGACAGATGAGAAGGTCTGAGACCCTGGGATCCCCTGTATGCCACATGGGCAGTCTCCTGGAAGGAGTGCTTTTTAGGGTTGATGATGGATTATGAATCACTGTGTTTTATTGATCAGAGGGCTAATGACAATGGATAACGTGGGCACGGTCTCATCTGGGTACGTTGCCCTAGCAGACGGTAGCAGAATAAAATCCTTCTGCTTTCTGCCGTTGTCTCCCAGGACTATTTCATGTGAGGTGGGGCGGAGGCCACAGCTGACACGTCACAGGTATTCTTGAGAGGGCTTTGGGTAATACAGGGAGGAGCTAGTCACGAGCAAGAAATGGTGTCTGACGCAGGAGACTGACCTGTGTGGAAGGAGGAGACGAAGAGAAAACATACTGAGTGGACTGGAGAAGAGCAACGCTTCCTTTTCCACGGTCCATTTCCATGGGGAAATAGGACGCTCATGAGCTTGAAGAGCATGAGGGATGGGCTCGGGACAACCGAGGCATGGATCTCGAAGGTGGTAGTGATGGCCCAGAAATGCCGCAGAGGGAAGGGCATTATGGCATTGAGGTTGATGAGTGCTTAGACGCTCACACTCCACCATGATGGGATTTCCCTCTGTAGTCTCTTCAAGGAGTATAGCTGGAACTGGAAGGAGTTAGGAGCTGCGGGCTCCCACAGCAAGGGGAGATGGTGCCACTTCCCCCGAGTCCTAAGTCCTCTTCCTGTCCCCTCACTTCCACCGTGAGTGCCTCCCGCTACAGGGTGAAGTCTCTTGAGTCGACCATCAACTACTCTGTTTCTTGGAGATCGTGGCATTGTTTGCTGTGGTGATACCGCTGGGCCTAGATAGATACCAGCCCTTGGGAGAGTTCCTGCCTTGATCCTTGGCCATTTCCAGAGGTGTTTGGCTGTTAGTGAAAGTAGATTCTGTGCTGCTCTGTCTGAGTAAAGTCATGACCAGTGGGTTGTAGGCTGGTGCAAAGACATTTTGTGGGATGCAGCTAGTTTGTCTTACCCACATCTAATTCTCAGTATTCTTATAGTGGTAGAGAAGAATCTCAGTAAATTCACCTGAGTTTTGATTAGAACTGGGGTCAGCGCCTGATTTTGTCTCACAGACCTCTGTGAGGTGAGTCTTACAGGATCTGCTGAGCAGACAAACGTCCTTGTAACCATGCTGCTCTAGTGGAACTCAGGCCTGGACCTTTGCCAGCTGCCACTGAGTGAGACTAAGCTTGTCTGCAGGCGCCGGAGGTTTAATCTGGAGCAGTGTGCTCCTTGACAGAGTCCCGTTGCTCTAGATGCAAGTGGTAAGCTCCTAAGAGCGCCTGGGTTTGGTTGGGACTCTAAGAGTTTGCATGGCTGGAGTTGGGTTTTTCTCTCAAGATGAACACTGAGTCGTCTCTGTGGTTAGTGTCATGAAGAAGGTTGGGGAATAGGGATTTCCTGAAGCAGTTTGGGTTGCAGCCCTCATTTGCCCAGAATGCATCCAGTCTGTTTGTGTTCGCAGACAAAGAGTTCACCGTGCGCCTGGAGACAGATAAGCGGCTACACACAGTGGGCGAGGCAGTGGAGTTCAGGTGTATCCTAGAGGCTCAGAACATTCCTGACCGGTACTTTGCCGTCTCCTGGGCCTTCAACAGCTCACTCATCGCCACCATGGGGCCTAACGCTGTGCCGGTCCTCAACAGTGAATTTGCCCACCGTGAAGCCAAGGGACAGCTTAAAGTGGCCAAAGAGGGTGACGGTGTCTTTGTACTTAAGATATACCACCTTCGCCAGGAAGACAGCGGTAAATACAACTGCCGGGTGACAGAGCGAGAGAAGACTGTCACTGGCGAGTTCATCGACAAGGAAAGCAAGCGTCCCAAGAACATCCCCATCGTCGTCCTTCCCCTCAGTAAGTAGAAGTGCATCGCTTACTAGTTCCTGGTGCAGTGACTAGTGCCATATTGGAGAAGTAGTGGAGAGAGAATAGCTCCAGGCAGAAGGGGCAGACCGGGATAAGATGACCAGAGAGAGGGCTTCTCTGCCTTCTCCAGCCCCGGGTCTACAAAGCAGCAGGGGCATGTCTTGGCTGGAGATGGTACCTGCAGACTTGAACTCACGCAGCGTGGTGTAAAGCACCAGCCTTGCCAGCTCAGCTTGGGAGAAGACCAGAAAGTCATTTGCTCTTCTGGAGGAGTTAAATCCCAGAAGAAGTGGGTAGAGGCCTGCCTTGAAATCTCACTGAAGGAGAGCTCATCTCTTATGGGAGGATTTGGGTATCATCAACTGCATTGTTAGGAAGGATTTGCTGTCTGGGTTTTTCCAGGTATCAAGGCGGGTAGTTCCCTAATTGTCTCTTCTGTACTGAAATTGCATTGTTAGAAGGCAGTGGGTGGTAGAGCACTCGGCTAGTGTGCACAAAGTGATAGATTCATCCCAATGTGCACATAGATGGTCAGGGATGGGGTGTCTGCCTTGCTGGAGTGTGCTTCGAGAGCTTGGGCCTCTCAAGGCTGCTCCAGGGGCTCTACCTCTGTGCACACTGACCATGTTAGGATGGGTGGTGCCCTTCTGGGAACAGAGTGCATGCATGCTGTGTTTAAAATATCCATGGTGTCGAGACGTTCTTATTAATCTCTTTTCTCTCACAGTTCTGTTTTTAGCAAAACGTTAATCAAAACTCACAATGCTCTGATTTTTAAACAAGATGGTCCAGTTTAAGAACTAACCTTTAACCTTTTCTTAGCTCCTAGGACTGTTCCTCCTCTTAGCCTTGTAATGATTTCCTTTACATTTTTATTTACACATTTATGTGTTTGAAATGTTTCTCTGTTGAGTGTGAAGTCCAAAATAGATTGAGGAGGCCTGTCACCCTTCTCTCTCTTTTCATCAATGGGATTGTTTTCTGTCATGCTTATTGTACTTAACACACACACACACACGTAACCTTGAACTCTGGTGCTTTTCTTGCAATTGCATGGTGCTTTGCATAGAGTAGGTGCTTGCTGAATATATGTACAGTTGAAACGATCAGATTGAATGCCCACACTCTTTATCCTGTTTTCCTGTGCCTGCCCTAACCACAGATTCCGTGCTTTAAAACTAATCTCTCCTTGTTTCGTGAGGGTGGCATGAAGGGCGGCCACCCTGTTTGCTTCCTCTATCTTTGTACTAAAAGATTTCCCCCAGCCCTTCCAAGAACTTGTTTGATGATCTGTGGCCTGCTATATTGCTTTTCCAGCAGATAACTGGGTAGTTAAAGTCCCCCAGCAGCACCAGATCCTGCCCCAAGGCCACTTGGGTAAGTCTACTGAAGAACAACAATCAATCGGTAATGGTGATAATGCCCTGGATTTTAATGGCACCTTTCCTCCTAAGAACCCAAAGTGCTTCTGCATAAACGATCTCTCTGCTCTCAATCCTCCAATCTCCGTCCAAGCTAGCGTTACATCCATCTTGTGAATGGAGACGTCAGAGCACACACAGGGAAGTGTCTGATCCGGTTGTTCAGTTAGCAGTTGAGATTGCAATTGCATTAGGAACATTTGCTCTAACTCCGAACCCGCTGCTCTGCGCTTAGCCTGTGCTCCGCTGGCAGCCTCCTGATTGGGAATTTCATTTATGAACACACACTCAGATTTTGAATGATTCTGTCCTAGTTTTCATTCAGTCCGGAGGATTTTACCTTGTTCTAAGCCTGGGAACCCGGATAAATAGTTACAGCGTGCAGTGCAGCAGCAGATCCGTGTTTGTCTAGGCCTCGGCTGCCAGAGGCTTTCCTTCTATCTAGGTTTTCCAGGCTTGCTCCAAATAGCCATCCCGAATGTCCTTAGGAGTCCATTGGGGTGGCAGTAGGGCATATGACTGATGTCTGACAGGTTGTTCTTCTGCATGAGACAGACCAGAGGGTTTTCTTCCTTGATCCTGAAGCTGTCTTCTGCATCTCACCTTGAGCTGAAAACAGTGGGGAAGGATATTGGTGATGACGAATAACACTGGGGCTGTAACTCAGCAGTGGAATGCCTCAGTTCTGCCCACTTCCCCATTTCCTTTCTCAGTGTCGTGATCCTAAGTAGACACTCGGTAGAGTCCCAACTGTGCATGTGATAACTGAGGCTTGGTGAGAACACCAGGATTCCAGTCAGGAGGCAGGCAGTGCAGCCAAGCTCCGAAGCCCTGTCGACAAGAGCCTTACCATGGGCAGGCTGTCTTCTGAGGCCTGCTCTTCCCACATTCCTATGGAGCAAGCACAGCCTACTCACTATGACAAACGCTAGGCGCTGAGGCCCGGTGCTCTTCTTTGCCGTTTCTGTCTATGGGGAAATGAAGGGGAGAAGAATAAAGTGGATCCAAATGCTGCAGTAATCGGGTGTGCTTCTTGATCTGGGGTTTGACTTAATCGATTGTCAATGGTGCCTAGAAAATCGAATTCAAATTGGTTATGACACTATGTGTTGTGTTGTTTAATTTATATGAGCTTATTGAACTCAATATAGGTAATTATACAAAATAATATATGCATAATTAGGAAAGTGTTAGCCATGCTGTTTATGAAGGCAGAAATATCCGAGTATAGTAAGATCAATCATGATTGTGGACACCGCCTTTAAAAAGCGCACTGTGTGTTACACAGTCTGTGTGATTGTCTTACTTGCTTTTTAATCTTTTGTAAGTTAAAAATGGTATCTTACAGAAGAAGAAGCTGAGACTTGTCAAGTTTGAATCATCCCCTTGACTGAGACCAGCTATCCAAAGGAGTGGCAAAGGCTAGACCAAGCTAGGCTGGGAGTGAAGTTCTTATCCCCATCTTTGCTTGGCAGACTGTCAGGGTGGCGAGCAGAGGTGCCCCAGGGCTGAATGAGTGGGTAGAACAGGGGAGTGGTGGATGGTGAGCTTCTGTATTAATGAAAACATGAAACTTCGCTCCCCACACACTCCTGGTGAGGCTAGACCATCTGTGCCCCATTTTCCACACACAAGCACGTGCCATCTTCCAAGTACTTCCTGACATCTTTTCTACTTCCTAATATTTCCCCGAAGGATTCAAATGGCATACTAAGGATTTTATAGCTTTTGTTTGACTGCTGTAGCTCCAAATGCTGGAAGATTGGGGTGTGGTCGGATTAGGAAGTTTTTCCTCATGCCGAAACTCCGAGCCAAAAGCCTTGAACTGCATCTGAACAGGTCACCCAGAAATAATTTTATGCTATCAACACCCTGTCATTGTACTGAATTTCTCAGGTTCTGATTTACTCTTAGGTCTTAGGAGCTCATTATCCCAATCCACTCCACAAACAAAGAGCATTCTAGACTACCAGATCTAGGAGGCAATGCCTGGTCTGCACCAGCCAGATCTTACAGCAGTAAGTTGTCAGAGCAAATCAGAGCTTTGGCTCCTTTGACCTTCACTGTCAGAGTCATGGGATTCGGTTTGCACCCTTCTTCCTGTGTCATCTGTGAGGGGGGTGCCCTGGAGACCGTAAACCCCCAGTGTGGCACTCTCTCTCCTCCCCAGAAAGCAGCATTTCCGTGGAGGTGGCCAGCAATGCCAGCGTCATCCTCGAGGGCGAGGATCTGCACTTCTCCTGTAGCGTCCGCACAGTGGGCAGACTGCAGGGCCGCTTCTCTGTCATCTGGCAGCTTGTGGACAGGCAGAACCGCCGCAGCAACGTCATGTGGCTAGACCGGGACGGCACCGTGCAACCGGGCTCGTCCTACTGGGAGCGCAGCAGCTTCGGGGGCATCCAGATGGAGCAGGTGCAGCCCAACTCCTTCAGCCTGGGCATCTTCAACAGCAGGAAGGAGGACGAGGGCCAGTACGAATGCCATGTGACCGAGTGGGTACGGGCTGTGGATGGAGAGTGGCAGATCGTGGGAGAGCGCCGTGCCAGTACCCTTGTCTCCATCACGGCTCTCGGTGAGTGAGCAGTGGGACCATGGCAGATGCTTTTTGCCAGGCTCCTTCCCTTTTTAGCAGTGTTCTGGTTGGAGGGCCTGGGGGAGATGCTGTGAGTGTGAAGATCTGGAGTTCAGGTTCACAGAACCCTAGTAAAATGTTGAGTGGGCCCAGCATCATGCCTGTTGTAGGAGGCCACTTGTTCATTTCCCGGCTGCCCAGACTCCCGAAATAACCACACAGAAACTGTATTATTTAAATCACAGCTTGGCCCAATAGCTCTAGCTTCTTATTGGCTAACTCTTACATATTAATTTAACCCATTTCTAGTAATCTGTGTATTATACCGGTAAAGTTCCAGCAAAAGTCTCCGGTGGGGCTACATGGCTTCTCTCTGACTCCACCTTCTTTCTCCCAGCATGTCTCCCAGCATTCATTTTAGTTTTTCCTGCCTACCTAAGTTCTGTCTTGTGCAGGCCTAAGACAGATTTTTTATTAACCAACAGTATTTACAACATACAAAGGGGAATCCCATATCACATGCCTGTAATTCTAGCCCCAGAAGCTGACAGACATGGGCTCCTTAGAGCAAGCTAGCGATCAAGACCAGCCATATCAGTTAGCTCTGGGTTTGATTGAGAGACCCTGCCTCATCGAATAAGGTGGAAGAACAATTGAGAATGCTTGACGTCAGTCTTTGGCCTGTGTGTGCATGCATATGCACACACAACCACAGACAAACATGCATATACTCATATGCATCACATCACACACATGCACACACACACATACACACATGCGCACGCATGACAAAAAGGCAAGCAAGTTTTGATTAGAGATAATGGTATCTTCTAGAGTGTTTTATTGAAGGGCTTGAGGAAACTAACGGTAGATGGTGGGTGGGGCACCTGGGGCTAGGGACTCCTGTTGCCATCCCTGGCGCTGGGTGAGCTGGGTGGTATGAGGACCCTAGTGGATAAGTGACATCAACTAGCAGGACATGGCTGTGGTAAAACTGGCCTGGAAAGGAGGAATGACCAGGTATAGTGATAAGTTTCTCCCACCCACAGGGTGTCTTACTCAGCTGCTCACAGCCCAGCCCCCCAAAGTGTCTGAACAGGATGGAAATCCCATTGCCCACGACACAGCATTTGCCCCACGTCTGGCCGAGTCTCAGTACTCAGCTCAGTTGTCCCATTTAGGCCTGTGTTTTTATCTCTTCCTCTGTGAAGCTCCCACTTAAGAAAAAAGCATTTCCTCATTTGCACGGAGTGAAAAGATACCTTGAGATCTGCAGAAACCAAGTATGATTGAATTTGCGCCTCATGGGATATCCAAAGAGGCTTCTTCCCGTGTTATCTGCCAGATGCAGTCCATCTATCACGGTTTCAAAAGACCAACCTGCTGCTTTGCTGAGAAGATAACTTACTTTGTCAGGCCTTCTGTTGTCAGGAAGCTTTGTCAGTCCCCATTCCCAGGGACTGTGTCACCACCTCAGGTAAGGCTGGTGGTGCTGTTGAGCACTCAATAAAGACAGCAGCGCAAGGTAGATCTGCCCACGACCAAGTCCTTGTTCTCCCTTCTGGGATTAGGGCAGCACTGGCTTTATTCTTAAATGTCTGTTTTCAATTTTCTAGTGATAAAGCGTTTTCCATTTGATGTTTAACTCCCCCGTGCCAGGGCTTCCCTCCAGCTGCTTTGAAAAGGGGGAAAGCCACCTGTCACTGTTGTAGGAATCCTTGGGCTTTTCAGGGTAACAAGGTGTCTCCCCAAGCAGGGCATGCAGTAAAAAGAGACATGCAAGCAGCAGGAAACAGGAAGCTGCTCTAGACCCTTGGCATTCTGTGGGGCCTGTTTGGTTAGACTGGCTGCTGTCTAGGCCCTGGAACGGACACAGCATCATGTAACCCAGATGCAGCCTGTGTCCCCCTGCACCTCACTGCGATTGCATCAGCTTTCTGAATGCTTCATACCAAAGATGGGCTTGCCTTCTGCAGTCACCAGGCAGCTCTGATGTCTGTGTCTAGAAACTTCCTCCAGTGATGATCGCAGTCCCTGCTGCCTATGCTTAGCACCACTGTGGACTTGGACATGGGAACCTGGGAGATGGTTCTGAGATCTCCTACGTGTAGATTGTTCCCCACTGAAGACATTAGGGTATCCAGGGAGGGTGAGTCAGGGTGCTTTCCCTGGAAGGAATTTTACAGTTTCAGGTAATCTGCTCTGGGAGTGTTCTTAAGCTCACCATGTATCTGGCCGCCCTCACAGCCAGGACAGATGGAGTAGCACTCCCTTGGATTCCTGAGGCCAGCTCTGCTCACTTGACCCTCTCTAGATTCCCACTAGAACTAGGACCGTGGTTGTCCAGCCAGCCATAGTCATTATCTAAAGTAAACAGTGACACATAAAAATGTTTGTATTGCTATAATTAATAATGGATCTTCTTTAACCGTGACAGATGTGTGGATGAACTAATAGGCTGCCCACAGACCATTGTGACTATGTGACCGTGGCTATGTGCACTCTGGTCTGTGTCCACCGTGTAGGCCTGTGTTGGCCTTGGGCACCATGGCTTCATATGTGAAGCCAGAAACACCCAGTACAGGACCTGTTCCCTGGTATCCCTGATCCCTGATCTTTATCTCCCCCCCCCCCCTCTCTCTCTCTCTCTCTCTTTTTTTTGGATTTTTCGAGACAGGGTTTCTCTGTAACTTTTTGGTTCCTGTCCTGGAACTAGCTCTTCTAGACTAGGCTGGCCTCGAACTCACAGAGATCCGCTTGCCTCCCAAGTGCTGGGATTAAAGGCATGCGCCACCACCGCCCTGCGATCTTTACCTCTCTTATGGCATGTATACTACACACCACTGCCTAAGTGGCCATCACAGTCACACAGGGTCGGTCTCTGTGTCTTCATTTTTTAAATTGAAGATCCAGAGAGTTCAGCAATTTTTGCCAACCTGTTCTCTAACAACTCCCCAGGGAAAAACCGAAGACTCTTTCCGGGCTTTGAGTTTCACCACAGACTTTAAAGTATTTCAGCCCTTTGGTTTCTTAGACAAACCGCATATTTTCTAGAGTGTATGTGATGTCCTACATACTCATGTAAACTTCACAAGGACCCTTTACAGAAAGGAAAACAGAAGCAGAGGGGACTTAGATCACTTACTCAATGTCACACAGCTACGAAGTGTCCCAAGAAGGTGACTGCCTGCAGAGTTGGTGCCTTTGATCAGTCTGATGACTCCCCGGGCACAGCAACCCCAGGCTGGCCCTGGAGTGAGGTGCACACAGGGCTGTACCCTGACTCTACCATTTACTACTCACAATAGCAAGCAGTTTACTTGACTTCTCTGCACTCTGCAAAAGGTGCAGCAAGCCCACCTGAGCTCCCAGTGCTGATCCAATGAGGGGGTGAATGCAGAGCCTCCCATACCGGGCTTGGCACGTAGCATTCGGCACACACCGACCAGCATTACTTTCATATGATCCTCGCCAATGTGCCCATCCACACTGAAGGAACTGTGACTCCCTTGTACTGAGAATGAACGTTAGAGGCCAGGGATGCCTCCCAGTCAGTGAGAAATATTGAGAGGCCACAGCCCACTGGGACTGCAGGAACCTCAATTTCAGAGTGATGCCCCACCCACCTCAGGTGTCCATCTACTGGAGACCAGGCCCTCCTGCCATATGTCCCTTAATACCTGTCTGAACCTAGGCCTTGTGGGGACTTAGAGGAGAGGCTGACAGCCCTTTGCATGTGCCTGCTTCAGGATGTCATGCACTAGAAGACCAGGGACAGGTATCTAAAAGTGTTGGGTACATGCAGTGAAGGAAACTGGCTTTGCACAGAATTCTGGGATTGCTAGGAGTGGTCGTGGCTTTGGTGTCTTAGCCTAGAGGAGGAAGTGCTGTAAACCCACATGAGGCTCTCAGGTCTCACTGGGAGGAGACAGGGCTGGGTTGCTCAGAATAGCCTGGGCCCTCTTTGTGTAAAGTCTTAGGAACCGTTGAGTTGGACCTCAGCCCAACACCTAAAGAAATAGCTCGCTCGCGAGCAGAAAGCTTAGGAACGTGCAGCCTCCACTCTGACTACCGGCTTGGCCAGGTGACCCACATTGGAAGACACACTACCCCAGAGAAGCCGATGTGTCTGCCTCACCTCTCTGCTCTCCCTGCAGAAACGGGTTTTGCAGTCACAGCCGTCTCCCGGACGCCAGGGGTGACCTACAGTGACTCCTTTGACTTGCAGTGCATCATCAAACCCCACTACCCATCCCGAGTCCCCGTGTCGGTGACATGGCGGTTCCAGCCAGTGGGCACGGTCGAGTTCCACGATCTGGTGACCTTCACGCGGGATGGAGGGGTTCAGTGGGGAGACAGGTCATCTACCTTCCGAACTCGGACTGCCATCGAGAAGGCCGAATCCAGCAACAATGTCCGCCTGAGCATCAGCCGGGCCAGTGACACTGAGGCAGGCAAGTACCAGTGTGTGGCAGAGCTGTGGCGGAGGAACTACAACAACACCTGGACAAGGCTGGCGGAGAGGACCTCCAACCTGCTGGAGATCCGGGTACTGCAGCCAGGTGGGTGCTCAGGCTCCGAGGCCTCCCTCCTGTAGGGCCCACGTGTGTCTGCATGACATGGTGAGAGACATGGGTGTGTGCTTATGTGGTGAGACATGAGAATGTGCCCTTAAATGACACAGTAAGGAGGATGTGTGCTTATGTAACACAGTGGGGTATACAGGGATGTGTGCATATGTGATATGAAGATATGTGCTCATATGATATGACATCCAAATGCTTGTTCTTCCCTGACATAGTATAATATATGAGGGTGTGCTCGTCCATGATACACGAGCCATGAGGATGTCTGCTCCTGCTTATGTGACATGGTAAGACATTGAAGGGCATCTGCTTGCGTGACTGGGAGATGTGAGGAAATAAAGAGTATACTGAGCCCTGGCACAGCATCTGTTTCCCACCTCTGAGAAATTCCAATCACTTGCACCCCCTTTCTTCGGTGGCTAGTTCATGTCTTGCATGCATTTTCTTCTTGTGTGTTTATAGGTGGCGGGCACTAGGACACTTCTAGATCCTCCAGCATATGACTCCTAAGAACAGGACATTGTCCTACCTAACCACAGCCCCATTGTCATACTGAGGAATTCATCATTGGTGCAGTCTCATTACCCACAATTCTGCAGTTGTCTCAGCAGGGTTTTTCAGTGTAACCCCCCCCCCCACCACCACCACACACACACACCTCCAAGGAGACTTCAGTTAGGGAACACACAGCACTTCAAGTTGTCCTGTCTCTTTGCACTCTCTTAACCAAGAACAATCTCCAGCCTCTGTCTGTGTGTGTGTGTGTGTGTGTGTGTGTGTGTGTGTAGACACTGACATTAAAACATGGGCAGGCCGTTCTGATCTTTAAACCCATCTCTTAAAGTAACTTTGTGTGTGGGGTTTCCCTTGTCCATGTTAGAGAGAGAACTTAGAGGAGAGAGGAAAGACAGCGGTATTTATCAAGCTTCTCTGCCCCTGCCCCCATTAGGAAGAACAGCCCTTTGATTACAATTTTACATTTCCTGGAATAATTAAGGGACTAGCCTAAGGCCATAGGCCTGGTCACTGGAGGAACCATGTGGTCTTTTTCTATAGTCTTTTCTTAACTCATTTCCTGTCATATGGGCTGAATTACTTTCTCTTGTGGAAGTCCATTCATCCAGAAGTCACTAACTTGGCAGGTATTCTGCATGGAGGTGCCTTCAGACACCTTCACCAGGCTCTCCCCTGACTTGAGAAGTAACTTGGGTTTTTCTGTCTGTCTTGTGACTGACTAGGTTGGAAGGTGATAGAGCAGAGTGCCCAGTCTAGGATGTTGTACCCCCAGAATAGAAAAGGCACCCACACAGACAATGGTGGTGGATAGAACTTACAAATAGTTGAGTTGGTTTTTTTTTGTTTTTGTTTTTCCTGTCTTTCTGACCCACTCACTTTGCAAACATGGTTTGGACCTTGTTCTCCCGTTATGATTAGTGTACCCAGACTGGTCACATCAGAGGCCACAAACAGGGAAGTTTTTAGCATGTAAGGTTAAAAGGGGTAAGGTCTGAGTTTATCCTTCCCTTTGCCTGACCCCATCACAGAGGCCTCTTCTGTACCACATTTGAACAAATGGGTTTTATAGATGGTGAGGCTATGTCTAGATAATTAGAGCTGAACTGGGCCAACAGGGTGCTGAAGAAGAGGCTTTCTTCAGTGGGCGTTCAGGTTAATGGAGGGCTAAGTGGAGACCCCATTTGATGTAAACACTTGTGGAAGATGGGGAGATAACCCCTGGCTGCCTTATGGGGTAGAGTGTATACGGGTGGTAATTGTGTGTTTTTGTTGTCTTGTCTGCCACTCAAGGTCAGTGTTCTGAGCGACAGTACTGTCACATGGTTTTGCAGCTTGCGGCGGTAGCAGAGGCAGTGACCCCCAGACCTTGCTTGTCTTTGCCCCTCTGAATAAGCCCCTACTGTTTGCTTTTTTGTTACTACTTGGAATCAACCAGAGCCCTGAAGCCCTTGTGTGCACTTAGTCCTTTAAGGTTCTCATTGCTTGGATTCTGATTCAAATTTATGGTGACTCTATTGGCCACCATGAGCCATGACCAACGCTAGTTAAGTGGTAGAGCTGAAACTCAGCCTGAGGTGAGAGGCCAGATCCCTTTGACTCCACACATCTGCCCATCCTGCCATCTCATTGGGCTCCTCCCTGTGGGCTTAGAACTGCATTCATGGCTCATACACACGGGGCGGAAGGGTCCAAGCAGGGGCCAGTCCTGCTCTCCACACCTGGAGTGCCGTTGAGAAGGCTGAATCCAGCAACAGCATCTGCTTGAGCATCAACATGCCACTGAGACTGTTTGTGGTTTCCCTGGGAAGTGTCTCCAAGTAGTGCTTGGCACTGGAGACTTTTGAGCATTCCAAACTGCCACCGTCTTCAGGAGGCTTCTGGGCTTGCTTGCAAAAAGATCATTCCACCTGGGCTTGTTGGCTCTTGACTCTCCCTCATTGAAGGAGGGGTCAGAAAGGGTCATGGGACCCTCACCTGAGTATTTAGGCACCCCTCCCAACTAGTTGTATTGCAGTTCTGTATTAATTGCGGGTGGTCCATGGGGAGGCTAGAGTGCATAAGTGCATCGTTGGGCGAAAGACTTAAGAAAGTGGGCTCCATCTACACAGCTGTGGTAACCACCATCCCTGCTGGGTGCATACCTACCAGTGTGGCTGCCTTAAAGTTGGCCCCGCGCCTGCCTGTAGCCCCTGACCTACTGCTCTGTAAGTAAGCAGAATAAAATCATTGGTTCTCCCAGGTGAGCTTTGGTAGCATTGAATTCTGGTTTGCTATTGGGACCTTAAGAGGGTGAGGTATTGCTTTGTCCTCCCTAGAGCAAAGGTCCTGGCAATAGCTGTCACAATGCTCCTATGGCTGGCCCTCTGGAGAGTGGGAAGAGCAGCAGTGTGCGGCTCCCAGCATGACTAAGGCGCTGGAGCACATCCCCTAAGTGTTACTGTTTCTCCTGTGGTAATCATCTATGCACTTAGCACTGAATCCTTTCCAAAGAGCTTCTCCCTGAATGCCCAGCTAGTGCAGGTGCTTTCCTTTGGGTGCAGGGAGACAGTGCTAGAGACACACTAATGCTGTGTGCTTTCTTACTGACTCTTTGATAAGTGAACAGTCAAACAGTGCCCCACCCCCAGCGTCACCACCATCAGCAATGAGTGGGAGATTGGGATTCAAAGCTAGGTATGCCTTAATGAAGTGCTGGGAGTGGAGAGACTTTGCCCCTTTTGGAAACTATGTAATCACATCTTATTCCTTCTGCATTCAACCCCATAACATTCTTTATGGGGGATATTTTTCCTTGCATGTCTCTGGTGTGTGGAAGTCACAGCAGTGGTAGGATAAATAACAGCAGCAGTGTGTGGCTGTCACCAATGAAGATGCCTTACTTCAGATGACTTGCTTCATTCTTCCTTAATCCACACAGGGTCAATGGGAGTGGGGGTGCCTGACACAGCTTACAGATGAGGACTCTGCCACCCAGGGTGAATAAGTTGCCCAGTGACTCACAATGAGTGGAAGAGCCAGGATTCAAGCCTAAACAGGCAGTCTGGCCCCAGAGCTAAATTTTTAATTTTATTATATTATCTACTTTGTACACAATGAGCCAAAATTATACTTACTTGTGTTTTCTTCTCTCCATGACATCGTTTGGTACAGTGTGGGGTGTGTGTGTGTGTGTGTGTGTGTGGTGTGTGTGTGTGTGTGTGTGTGTGTGTGGTGTGTGTCTATGTATGTGTGTGTGCGTGCGTGCGTGCGTGCGTGTGTGTGTGTGTGTGTAGTGCAGGGCTTTTCTACTCCCATGGCTGCACCCTAGCACCAGGCTGTGAATGCCCTGTCAGGTTTTGCTGTCCTGATTCCCTGGACCTTTGTTTTGTAGCATTAAGGCTACAAAGCATTTGGAGCTTCCTTGAGATACAAGTTATTAAAGACAAAATCAAATATATACCTATTTCGGGTTCCTTTATTTAACTTCTGCCACAAGGTGGCTCTAGGTCCAGGGGAAACCAGTGCCAGCTTCCCTCCTCCCACCCTCCCCATAGGACCTTCCCCACAGAACCTTCCCCGCCAAGCCTGGGTTAGCATCTTCCAAAGGGTTGCCATCCACCCCTAAAGAGTATTTTGGGAATGTTCTTATTTGAGGAGAATCAGCAAGAAACCCAGGCACCAGTGACAGACTCAGTTCGTTTATCATCAGCCTCTACCATCGCGACGTCCTTTGTCCCAGTCAAGTTCTTTGTGGTCTGTACCCAGACTCCTGCCAGAGCCACTGATGGTGACCACACCACTGCTATTTACTTCATCAAGCTCTCTGGTTAGCTGGCATGAGCAACCTGCTGTCAGAAGTGACATGCCATGGATTTATCATTGGCTACCTCCAGCCCATAGGCGTGCTTCAGAGCTTGTGATTCCCCAAGGCAATCTTAACTTCCCTTTCTGCCTTGATTTAGTCTAGTCTTCTCTGAATGATCTTGTAGTCGAGACTTAGCCAGCCCAGAGTGTTCCATTCTTGTTCAGTTCTTTTTTCTTTTCTTTCTTTTAACTGTGAGGCATCATCTTACTTCCTTCTGATTTTCTTCAGTTCCAAAAACACCCTCCAATTTCACATGGATAAATACAGAAGCAATAAGGGAAATGTCAGCATTCACTTAGCCAATGTTTATGACTATCCCTTGCTCTGGCTATTAAATATTGTGCATTAAAATTGACAAAGCAATAAACAAGCCTCCAGGCGGACAGCGTCCGGTGGTAGAAGGCTGCTTGTCAGTGGGTGCATGCTGCTGGGATTGGACTGATGGGCAGGTGGATGAATATTTAATGCCCTCTTCCTGCTGCCAAATCCGTTTTCTCTGCGTTCTCATTGCTGACCTGGCAGATTGGGCTAGCTGCGGGCGCTTTCTGTGACTGTATAAGTCCAGGGTCTGTGAACATGGCTGTCCTTGTCAGGGCATTCTCCCAGGGCAGCCTCG